ATTATAAATATATTTTTTATATCTTTAAATATATTTTTATAAAATTATTTTCATATTTATTTATAAAAAATATTTTTAAATAATTTTTTATAGCACTTTAATCAGAATAATCTTCCAGCTTATCATCTTTAATATATAATTTCACAAAATATTACTATATTAATATGTCTTATAATCTTAAAAAAATTTTGGTTTTATTATCTTAAAGAATATAATATTAAATTTTTATAAATTTTTAGAAATTTTTTGTCAAGTTATAGATGAAAAATATATTTATTATTACTTTTATACTAATTATATAAATTATTTTTTAAATAAAACTATATATTTTATTCTTTTTTTAATAATACTATATATTTTATTTTCAGTTTAAAATCTTAATACTTTTTAAATTTTATTTAAAATTTTTTAAATATAAATATTATATTAACTTAAAAAAATTATTATAAATAATATTTTTAACTTGATAGTAATTTAAAAATTCTTGATTTTTATTATAATATCTTTAAAATTTTAATTATAAAATTTTATTTTTATAATAATTATTATAATATTTTTGAATAAATAATTTATATTTAAGCTTATTCATATTTTTTATCTTTTTATACTTTGAATTTTATTTTACTATATATTTTATTATTATTTAAATTAATTAATATTTCAAATAATATATTATTTTATAACTAAATAATCAAGTTAAAATTTATTAAATAATTTTTAAGATATTTTCTTTTCAAAAAAAGATTCTTAAACTTGAAATTTTCTTTTTTAATTCTTTATCTAATTTTATTACTAATCTTTTTCTTATTTATTTTATCCAAAAAAGAATTTATCTTTCTATTCTTTAATAATTTCTTAATATTAATATATTAAAGCTAGTTATATTAGTTTTTAATAAACTTTTTGAATAATAATAATATTTTTATTTAAAATTTTTAAATTAAAAATATAATTCTATTTACTTATTTAAATAAATAATAACTTACTGATTTTTATTTCTTCTTTTTATATTAATATTATTATTATCTTGATATTATTAATTATTTATCTTGTTATTATATCTTAATTTAATTATTTTAGTCTTTAGCTTTATAAGTTTAATATTATATCTAAATTTTTTATTATCTATTTTAAAACTTAATATTCTTAATCTTAATCTTAGCTTTCTCAATTCATAAACTTTTCATTAAGTAAAGTTTGCTTTCTAATAATTTTACATATTTGATAGTAAAATTTTTAAAAAATAATAATAAAGATAAATAAATAATTTGATAAGTAAAAGAAAAATAATAACTAAAATCAAGTTATATTTCAATTCTCTTATTTAAGAGAATTAATTAAGTTAATTTTTCATTTAAATAAATTCTTTTATTTTTAATTACTAATATATTCTTCTAATTTAAAATAAAATCTAACTTTATCTTATTCAAGATAATATTGATTTTATTTTTCATTAAAAATTAGTTTATAGCAAACTTAGCCTGCAAATCATGAAATAAAAATAATATTAATATGATTTTTATATAATTTGATAATTAATATGATTGAATATCAGACATATCTCAGCTTTCTTCAACTTCATTATAATTATTTCAAATTTAACAATATTTCAAAATATTTATACAACTTGCTCTTGTGCTTGAAACTATAGAAATAGCAAGGTAAATGACTTAAAAAAAGGCTACATCAAATCCTGAAGGCAGAAGAACTACAAATAAACATAGTAATTCTTGATACTATAACATAGTGAACACTAGCCTTCACTTAGACTTTAGATGAAGTTCACCAGAGATAATACATCATTATTAGCCTGGTGTGTAATCAGGCATTGTAGGTGATTGTTCTGGTATAGTAACCCAATTTCTTCCTATCCTTTGAATCAAAATATTAAACTTAAATAAAATAAATACTTGCCTTTAGTAATCCATCGACGGCATTTTTCCACTTTTTGTCCGTTGCACTTTTTGCGATTCATGACACAAATTTAAATATTATTGAGTGCACATTTTGTTTTACGGAAATTCAGACATTTATGGCTTTCAAAAAAAGCCGGTTATTTGCGCGAGTATTAAAGTTTTTTGATTTTGTCATTTATGCAAATTTTTTGATCAACCCGGCAAAACAAATCCGACACAAGATATGAAAAATGAATATTACTCGAAACCAATGCCTAAATCTGTCTTGGAATACTAATCAAAATTGTCGGGACAGCAATTTTACATGTAGTCTCGTCCTCTGCCCAACCGTTACGCTCTAACCGTTATAATAAAGGTACTAAGAAAAGCAACGCGTTGTTAATTTAAAGATTTAATAAAATATGATTCCAAAAAAAAATGAAAGGCCCGTGTTTTTTTATATTTAAAATTTTTTCACACACTTATGATCTAACTGTGAACAACTTAAGATGCAAGAAACTCTTTTAATTATAAATAATGAAATATATATTTTACTATATACATGTAATTTCAAATCGGGCGATGGGATACTGTCCGTTCTATTATGTACTGATCAATTTTGAGTAGTGTAATATCATTTATTTTAACTTCGAACATGAAAATGCGAGAAGGTGGGATTGTCATTACATCGAGTATAATAATGCAGTTATTAATTTGCCCACATCTCGGACCTTATTTTATAACCCTGTATACATGCTGGCTCGATATTTTGTGAATCACAAAGAAAACAAATAGTAATTCTAGAAGATTTACATCTTGAATTTAGTAGTAATTCTTAAGTTTCGATTCATCCCGCTCTATCAAGAAAATTTCTTTTAAGTCGTTCAGCTTTAACAAGCAAACAAATTAGGAATTCTTAAAGCTCAAAAGGTGCTGAAACATGTAAAATCTTATAAGTCTAAAAAACCCGTGGTAAAAAACACCGATGTCACGTCCCCCCTGCTGATACTCGTCTATTTATTTAATAAACATATTTTATCCTATTTTTAAGCCCCAATTACTATTCTCGTTTATTATTCGTTAACTTTTTTGTTTATGCTTATCAATTATTATTATTATTATTATTCATTTTTCTAATATATCTAGTAATTTAGCACGAAAAACAAACAACTATATACTATACATAAATTCGATTTAGTGTACATATATTTTGAATTGCGAAACTATGGAAAATTTTAAGACTCGCCATTTCATTTACACAGCTCTCTTTGAAACACGTGTCATCCACAAAATTCGTTTCTATTGGTGTATTAATAGATTTCTAATTAAAAATTCATCACTCAAAACTGCCAAACTATTGACGGGTATTCCTAAGAATAGATAGACAATTCAATGAATATATGATCAAGATAGAACATTGATTGATAAGTCAAATTTGGGTAATCCGCATTGTGGAACTTTTAGGTATATTGAGAACACACTGTTTGGTCGAAATTTATTTTTTTAATATCAAATCTACTACCACATTAAAAATACTGTTGTTAACTATTATTATTTTATTATTTTTATTATTATTACTATTGCTATTACTACCCAACACACATATGTATGTCAAAACTCCCAGTCACGACGAACTTCCACCTCCTCCTTACGATGAGAAAGTGTTCCCACTTAACCCAAATCCAACTTCTAAAGCAAGTGCCGAATCTGCGAGTTCAGATTCTACGACAATTACAAAAACAACCACCACCACCACCACTATAACAACGATCACAACTACCACTATCTCTTCAAAGAATCAGGACAAGGGGAACGACGCTGGGCTCGACACTGACAATGTGACTCTCTTACCTGTCGAGTTCAAAAATACACCCGTGACTGTAGCTGACGAACCTAAAGACGCTAACTATTCCTTACCTATTAACACGTTATTCAATAATAAAATTCAATCAAGTTCACCACCTCCCATCGATGAAATTGCTTCAAAGATGTCTTGCTCTTCTCCCGAAAACCTCCCACAAACACCCATTTCTCCTTCTTCACCAACAACACAAGACGTTTACCCAACAGAAAGTGAATTGCCAGCAACCCCAACAAGACACCTTAAACGTATCGAGTCCGCGCCAAATATTCCTGCCGTTTCGATAAGTGACATGGATGGTAAAGTTCCAACTCTTCCTTCCGCCAAATCAATGTCAAATTTACAAAATAATGATGACAATCAAAGAAATACTTTGATGATCAATGCTAGTTCCACTGAGACGCCTAAACAGTATCTAGAGCGAATGCAAGATACTTTGTCAAAAACGGAATTGGCATTATTGCTAGCAAAAAAGTAAGTCAATCTTTCAATCAAATTATCGTAGAAACTTAGCGGGAAATTTATTTATCTTACAATTCATAGTAAGGATGCATTCCATGAAGCAGTATTCCAAGCGTATCTTGATTCGTTCGAGTTCCATGAAGATCCAATTGACATTGCGTTACGGTAAGATAATAAGAGTATGCTGTTGTAAATTGCCAATGAAATTTTAGAATTTATAATCTGAATGAATTTTCTAGAAAATTTCTCATGGAATGTTGCCTTCCTAAAGAAACTCAACAAATTGATCGAGTTATGGAAGCTTTTGCAAAACGTTATCACGAATGTAACCCCGACTTATTTCCTTCACAAGGTAACCTAGAGAATCGATTATTTGTGATATTGACGAGTATTGTGAAATGGAAGCTGAAAATCTTTCTTTTTTTTAAGACACGGCATACGTCTTAGCTTTTTCGTTGTTGATGTTACATACCGATGCATTTAATAAAAGTGTAAAACGGAAAATGACAAAAGAAGAGTTTGTCAAAAATTCAAGAATCGACGGTGTCCCTTCAGAAATATTAGAGGTAAACATAAAGAGTTAACATGAATGATTTTGTATTTATTAAATATTATCAATCAACTAATGTTTCTTACGACTGCTATTAGATTCTATACGATAATATCACATATACACAATTTATATATGCTGAGGATGATACAGACGTCAATGGTCTGAAATTGATGACATCACCAACAGAATATCGACATTCCAGGTTATTTAGCTCATCAAGAGATCGTAAAAAGTCTATACGTCTTAAAAATGACCCATACCATGTCATACAAACTGTATGAATTCTTACTATTACTATTATTACTACACCCCCTTAATTCATCGTCAATTGACCTTAAATATTTTATACATTTGATATAGAAAACGCATACAGAATTCACGCCAACTCTTAGTGATGTGGTTCCTATTGAAAATCCGTACTTATATAAAGGTACACTTGCAGAAATTGACACATTTTATCTTCATCGCGCTTTTACAAATGCACATACAATACGTATAACTGGAGTACGTGCTCGTCGAAATAGTAATGATTCGATTCAACCCACCAGTTCTTCAATTCATTCACTGGAAGAAGAAGAAAAAGGTGGAACGTTCCTTCTGAAGATCACTAAAGCTGGTATCCTGAGTCGTAAAGTGGATCTTTTGGAGGGCGGAAAAAAGGCAACCGGTTTCTTAAGAAGCTGGAAGCAATTTGGTGTCATTTTGAGTGGAAGCCAATTAATGTTCTTTAAGGATATAACATGGTTCAAAACTCAGATGACGGAATTTCTTGATCCGTTGGTGTGTAGAAATATATTATTTTTATCTTTGATGATATGCTATTTAGGCTTATCCATATTTTTTACTTCACAGAAGGTGACAAAAATTCCAGTTCTCAAACCCGATGTGATTCTCATGACTGCTGATTCCATAGCCGTTTATGATAAAAGTTATACGAAATATGTGAATGTATTTCGTCTTGTATGTCCTAAAGGACATCAGTATCTTTTTGAGGCTAATAGCGAAGAAGAGATGAATGACTGGATAGTAAAGATAAATTATGCAGCTGCTTTCAGAACGACCGGGGTAAAAATGAGACACACAAAGGGTTCCATATCAAGTAA